CGCAAATGCCTTGTCTGCGGGAGGCGGGAAGAAGAGAGGGGAATGAAGAACAGTGGCACCCAACAAGCAAGGCAGACACAAGCAGCACCGGCGCCTGTGCGCGACGACGGCACCCCCACAGTTGTCTCGTGTGGACGACCCCAACGGAGCCCCTACGGAGCGGGCGCACAAAACCCCACCAGCGCCACCCCAGCGGCCGAGGTGGGGGCGCTCTCGCTGCGAACCCACAGCGCGTTGCTGCGCTGCGTGCTGCCAGCCCCGCTCTACGCAGCGCGCCTCTACGCAGACCGCTTTTTTTTCTTTTTCTGCAGCCCCCGTGCTTCCAGTGGGTTGCGCGGCCGCCCGCCTCGCGTCTCGCACGCCCCGCAGAAATCTTTCGCGGCATCCGCCTGCAGTTGCCCCGTCCCCGCCGATCGCTCAACGCCGGACGACGGCGCGTGCAGAGGGGCAGCGCAAACATGCGCCGCCGTGGCATCTGGGTATCCCGCGACCAACTTTCCCGCGCGCCGGCGAGAAGGGCCAGCGGCGAGCCCCAGCCGCCCCAGCGTGAGCCCCCGTGAGGCGCGCCGGCGCACACGCCCCTCGCGCCATTTTCATTTTCGTCTTGCCGCCACCACCGCCCTTTGGCGAGGCGGCAGCGGCGGATCGACGGTCACCGCCACGGGCGGCGGAAGGAAGTGGGCGCCCACTACGCCAACACCCACGCGGCAGCAGGAAAAGACCCGCGAGGAACGGCGGGCACGACGCCGGGCGACGGCGGAACGCCGCAGCGTCGGTGCGCGTAAACATCCGACAGGTGCTGCGGCAAGAGGCGCCCGGCCACCCAGCGCTACCTGCGCAGACGTCACAACTAAGAGAGGAAGAAGCACGACAGTCAGAGGACAGCGCACACGCAGTGCCGTTCCACAGTGCGACACACACACACACACACACTCGTTGCCTGAGGAGCAAATCAGAGCCGTGGAGTCGAGGCAACAAAGGGGTTGGGAGCACCAAAATACATCGCGCATTACTACGCCCGCTCAAGGCAATAACCAGCCCCTAGACAGACCCCTCACAGTGGAAAACACAGACGACAGAGGGTCAGCAAAACAAATTCTCGATCAATGCGCACCCAAAGAAAGGGAAAACCAAAGGAAAGCATATACAGCAACGGCGGCGGGGCCCACTTGGAGTCCCAACCCCCGGAAGATGAGCGACCAACCGTATCGTCGACGAGAACACACACACAGACAGAGACACAGAGAGAGGCAGACTGGGATATATATTTGGGGGGAACAGGAAACAAGAAAATATAGTTGAATTTACATCCTTGACAGGAAATTAAATGGCATCAGAGAGAACGAGAGTGTGCACTAGTCCCTCAAACGTGCATGCGCCAAAAGAAAAGATAAGGGTCCACCTTGCACAACAGGCTGCACGTGCAAGCCACACGAGGCCAAACCTAGAGGCCCCCTCGGTGTCAGGAGAGGTGTGTGCCCCGCCTCTGCCTTTCAAAGCAATACATGCACCGCGACAGCGAAGGCCAGAGCAGGTAAGGCCAAAGAAACAGTGCGAGTGACGGCTGAATCATCATCAGGCCAATCGTAATATTCTTCGCAGTCCTCGTCGAGGTCATCGTTGCCACCGTCACCACCGTCACCACTGTCGCTTTCGTCGTCGTCGGTAATGACTGGGGGAAGAAGGCTGCTACCGTCGGGGGCGACGGCGCACACCTCCTCGTACTTCGGGCACTTAATCCTGCCGCTCCTGAAGTAGGGTGACTTGGGTGTAATAGTGGCGCCCTCGGGGCACGGTTCAAAATCACTGCCGCCGAGGTACTTCACCGACACCTCCGCATCCCCACACAACACATGCGCACACACCGCGACTACGTCTGAAACCCAGCCACCAGTGCTCTTGGAACTGGCCTCGATTGCTTCCCCATCGAGGCACCACGAATCACTCCCAGTAGCTGTACCAGGGAAAATATCGGAACCCTCCTCAAAACACGTAAAAAAGGAATTGATATAAGCGGAGTTCCCCTGAACAGGATGGACTGTCCAACAAACTTCCCGTGGTGTCGAAAAAAGATCGCCAATGTCTAGTATGCATTTAGAAATTGCCTGACGATCCGATGTACACAGAGGAGATTGCTCGGCAGTATCGCAGAACATGCGGGGATAAATGGTGTGAGCATCGGCGGGGCACTGCCTGTCCAGGAAGTTACAGCCCGTGTAGTTGCCCCACACCATGAATTCCTGCATTCCCCACACGGCCTTGTAATATCCAAAAGCCTCAAAAACGGCCAACGTCAGAGCGGTGTAGAAGCCGGCGGTGTAGCCATTATACGGAGCCATTAACTCGTCCTTCGCGTTGCGCAACGACCAGTGGGATTCCGCACTGCCCTTACTATCCTGGGACAGCTCCATGCCCTGGAGAGTGTCACAGTTGTAGTGCGTCTTCGTCATGTTAAGCACAAGAGGAGAAGTCACCAGCGTCACGGGAAACTTGCTGCCGCGCAAAGAAGTGACGGTCGACAGCATGCTATGCCTCGTCATCTCTTCCACGCTAAACCCGAGGGCGTGAGCGATCTCGTGCGCAGCCATACGTGCTGCAGGCCAAATAAAAGGAAGCGTGGCACCAGTAAAGTGAATGGCGCCAACAATGGGCCGACCATTCGTCTCTACCGCACACGGGATAGCCCACGTCACAATATCCGCTCCAACAGCAACATAGAGCATAATATCCACGTCAGAAACCCCAAGCTGCTTGTGACTGAGGGGCACAGTGAAGTGCTGGCAATTGCTGCTCTGGGAGAATTCGGGCACCTTCCACAAATTGTTGATGCGCTGAACAAGCAGGCGGTCCGTGTGAAGTCTGATGGCAACAGGTAGAATGTTATTTATCAGCGTACTGTTTTTAGATGCGGTCAGGACATCCTTAGAGTTGCACGTCACAATATTGCCCTTATAGTTTGGGCGTTTATCTTTGTCTGTAGTGCAGTACCTCGTTGGGTCCTTCAGATCCTCTATGGACACCCCGACGCGGATGGGCTTCCAATCACTGTCCGCAGCTTTTGCGGCGACGGTGTACGCCTGCGTCGCGCCCTGCTCCTTGCGCGGCACTTCTCGCACCGCCGCAGTCGGCAGCGGGCCGCTGCTCCGCATAAGCTCGTCGAACACGCACTGTTGTGAAGCGGTGGCGGAAGTACACCAATAAACGCAATACATCGTCACGAGGAGGAGCACCGCCGGTGGGAGAAGCGGCGTGGCGTGGCGTGGGTGCCGCATGGCTTGAGAAAGAGCAGATGTGTGCGCCAGCTTACTTGAACAGCGGAAGCAGCGGCAGCGGCGGTGGCGGTGGTGGTGGAAGCCTTGAGTACGGGAGGAGGAGACCGAGAGGAAGAGCGGGTGCGAAATCAGAAAATGGGGCAAGGGAAGAAACAAAAGGGGGTGGCCGCGAGGCCGAGGCGCCTGTAGCCCCGCCTCGGCCTCGCCCACGCCACTCGCGGGCTTTAGAGCACGGAATGCGGGAATAAAACCGGGTGGCAGAAGATCAGGGCAAATTTACCTGCTCCACTCGAAAGGTGCTCCCCAATCACGCAACCCACACGCAGTTAAACCACAATCCAAAAAAAAAAAAACGACGTTTGTGTTACGCGAGGCGCCACCTAACACTGCATTTTTACCCCCATGCACTTCAGCTGCGGCACTCAGTTTCCGCGGCCAATTTCTGCCCCCTTGGGCTTCGGTACCGTACGGCAGTCGAAAGGGTGTCCTCTGCCCCTCGTCATTGTCGGCGCAGCTCCATCAGGGGGGTGCGATGAGTCCCCCCGGCATCTCGTCCACGGACACCGCCGCTGCCAAACCACACACCCAAAAGAAGGACCCGAATGCGAAGGGGGGCGAAGTGCGGCGCGGGCGCGCCCGGAGCAGCGGCAGCGGCGGACAAGAGGAACCCTTCACTACCTGCCGCGCCGCGCCTCAGGAGAACGCTCCCACCCGCAGCGCCCTGCGCCGACTACGACACAGTCATCCACGCGCGCGGCAATGCTCGACGCGCGGCTGCGCCCACCTACGAACGCGCAAAGGCAAGAGCAACGCGGGCGGGAGTGCACACACACACACGCAGCAGCGATGCGAGAGGGAGAGCAGGACAAGGAGGAGTGGCGAGGCCCGAGGTGGCGTTGCGGCAAGCCACGGGAAAAATATGATGAAAGCAAAAGAAGGCATAGATCAAAAGAAAAAAAAACACGTCGTACCCCATCACGTATAAGCGCCCCAGAGATCCCCAAGAAAAAAAATCCGCCCTCCACTTATGTTTTCTCCCAAAAAAGCAAAAAAAAACTACAACTAAAGAGGCCGCTGGTTTTCGTGTGGCGTTTCGCCGACTCACAAAGCCGGGTGTATATTTTGCCCGCAGAAAATGACATTTTTGTTTCCTCCCAAGTTTCTCCCCTCACTCCCACTCCCACTTTATATCGCGCTGGGCCTCACGGCGCGGTGCTCGGCTTCGCGGCTCTTCTCATGTGCGTCGCCGCGTGTCCGTGGGCGGAAGCGGCACAACGGCACGAGGGGAGTCCCGCTGCTCCATGAGGAGACTGAGCGCAGCAAGCAGACCGTTGGTAAGAGAGGGAAGAAAAAGCGGAAAAAAAAAGAGTGGAAACATACACTCACAGAAGGAAGAAAAGAAAGAATGGGCCCGCACGGGTAAGCAAATAATTACTTGGGTGGCGCATGTGCTCAGGCGGCGGCAGCGGCAGCGGCGGCTCGGCCATGCTCTTTGTTCACCTCAGCAGAGGGCCAAAAAGCCCCACAGCCCAAGCAGCAGCATTAGCAGCCGAGACGCATTCTCACACACAGAGCCGTCACCGCCGCCGTTGCGCTTCATCATCCCGTAAAAAGCGTCCTTAACATCGTCAAACAGGTCCCCACCGGAGCTCTAAGTAGAGCGGGACGCGCGATCCCCCCGGCTCCCGCCTCCCCAGAATGACGGCCCCGCAGTTCGCCAGCACGCAATAGGCGGTTGTACAGAAGGACGTTCGTCACCGTCAGCTGGCGGCTGCCGCCCGCGTCACCCCCGCCCCAAAGTGAAGTGGGANATCTCGCCCAGCGCCGCTGCCGTTG